GGTAAAATGTTGTCACTTACCTACATATTTCCCTTTAACTCTCTTCAGTAGGTACGGAACACGGACGTGAACTTTATTTTTTTATCGTATATGCCGGTTGTAAGTCCTATGTAAAAGAAAGCAAGCTTTGTACCCTAAGTCAGCGCAATTTCTAAGAGTAGCTAGTCTCATCTAGGTATGCCGGAAATCAAAAAACTCAGTCATAGATCACACGTCGATCCATTATATGTTGCTTTATTTTATCTTGATTTTGAATACTAGTACATTAACTAAATGTGTCTTTTTATTTCGATTTTTGATAAAATTTTCTTTATTAATAATTTAATAAAGAAAAATAATAAATAATAAATGGGACCGAAGGTCAAGCTGCTAGTTCGAGAGAATAATTTGTATTATATAGGCATTTCTATTATATACTTTTTATTATTTAAAAATAATTATTTGTTTTTAACGGGCTGCTCTCCAGAACTACACGTTTTGATTAAACAATTCTTTTTGTGTCCTATAGAACTATCGATGTAGGCTTTAAAGGCTAAAATCATTACGCTACGATTACAGGAACCAACAGTGCTTGAAACCAATGTAAATAATACGTCCAATAACAATCATTTTATTTACTTTCATATAAAATAAAATGTATTCATAATTTCATTTTATTTGCACTATGTTAACAAAGCTTCTAAACTTTTTCTATCATTCACTACTAAAACAATATACATAGGTCCATATGTAGTTCTGGTATCCGATAATAAAATATTGCAATTACGATCAAAACAAAACGGTAGGAAACATAAGGTTGTATGCACCAGTACGTTTCAGGACTCCCATGCAAGTTTCACGGTTATGTCCTAGTTACACCGACGACCTGGAACGCGCGAGACGGCTTTCAGGACCGTCGCCGGTATCGGAACGGCGAAACGTATTTAGTTGCAGTTTTTATCTCACGTTATTGTGAATTTTATTTTTATAAAACAAAAAAGCTTATTATATTTTACGCGTTTTAAACTAAAAGCTTTCTGGTTTTTGCGGCTTTTTCATCCGTGCGGGGAGATTTAAAGCTTTCAAAAGCTGAAAGTTTTTCGCTTGTCTGTAAATAATTTGGGGATTTTAATGGATGAAAAAAATATTATTAATCATGTAGTTTATTCAATAAATAGTTTTTATTCTCAACTTTATATAATAGTGGTCATATAAATAAATGCTTTAGTGTGGATTAAATTAGAAAACTCCAAAAATGGACGACATCGTATGCCAGGAAGAGGTAAATATATAATTAATTTTCATAAAGTAAAGCTGCTTAAGTACTGTTATAAAATATGTATGTCCCTACAATATTTACGTACATAAACACGACTACATCATATTTTCATGTAGAATATACGAGTAATTTCATGTTCTTAGAATTTGTTGTCTTTCTTTGTTCATTGGTGATTAGTTTTGTTCCGGGGGTAGGCAGTAGAGTCCTTAGCACGAACTTTCTTGAATATTCAGACATACTATAAAGATACATACGTACCTTATAAAAGTGTTAAGTTAATATCGTGGTGCAAACGGTAATAGAAATCTTACTTAGCCTGATGTATTAAGTTGTTATCCGTAATTAAATGAAGCTCTTACCTCCCGCTGTACTCAAAGTCGTTTAATGGTTAATTAACCAAGACTTAAGCAATTGTTTTTACAACAAAATCGTTTCTAAGGAAAAGTTCAACTAATGATTAAATGTGTTTGACCGGGACAGTCAATGATTGTTTAAAATGTTTAATTGTAAAGTCTCACTTAAAAATATTTTCATTGTAGTCTATTACTAAGTAATAAGGATCATAATATAAAATTTACATTTTCAAAAACATTTCTGTTTTATAATAAAACGCGGTTGCAAGTTGCAAGGGGTTGCAAATGCAAGCGTAATAACGTACCGCAGCCTCGGCCTTAAGCAGGAGAAGGAACGGAGTGCTTTTTAGTCAGTAAGAGTCTAAAATTCCCTCTCTTCCCATCGATCATAAAAGAAAAGATATCATTTGGTGATTTTCATCCCTCAAAAAAACCCCAACTTCATGACTTGATATTATTACATAGACTGTGTGATAAGGATGTTTTTTTGTCTACGAAATCGATGTATGTTTATTTTATAATGAAGCTCTATAATAAAATAAAATAACTTGAGTCCACTACAATCTTGCCTTCAGACAAGCCTTCGTTTCATTCTAATTTCGATGCAGTCAACAATAATTTAATATAAATAATGTTCGTTTATAACGTCCTGTGTATAAAGAAAGACAAGGGGTGCTTTGTTCTAACAAACTATGACTACTATTAAATTCTTCTACCAAGCTAGAACATAGTTTTGGGAAATAATGTTTTGCCATCTAGGTATCATTAGCTTGTTTAACCGACTGAGTTACACTTAAAACGGTAACTCAGTACTGCGTAATTATTAATACGAACACTGTTATTTCTTAATTCAATTTCGCTCACATGCTCTTTATTCTGAAAGTGGTTCGATCGGAGTGTAATCGCGTCTTAAGACAACCAGCATGAAACTAAACTTGCGATGAGCTCTGCTGTGTGAGTAAAGTAAACAGAAATTTGACTAATATACGTTCAAAAGCATTTTTTTCACTTATTCTTTATCTCTGCCAAATTACATTGAACATAATCTTCCCAGAGATTTATGGACAATACATAGTGATAAAATTTAGGACACGTGCTGGGAAAACATACAAATCAAATATAGATTTTTATATATTGTTTAAAAAAAGCTGCCCGTGCTTTGGCGTGAAAATCTGCCAGCTAGAACGGCGTGTAGACCCAGGAGACTAAACGTAGTTAAATTGATCACTAGGGAGCCTCTCTGCCTTCTGATCATATCTTGCTTCTATAACAACATTGAACAAACATATAATGCAATTAATGCACCACAAGCGTAGACATGGCTTGAAACAAATAGTCACGACTAGCCACTTGCCAATCAATCAATAGAAATTGACTGCACTGACTGCCGCGCAACTTGTCGCGAGTTCGGTTCCCGCAAGGAAGAACTCTTTGTATTATTTACAAATTATTGTTCCGGGTCTGGGTATGATGTGTATGTGAAATTGGATGTTTGTAAACGCATCCATGACACGCGAGAAAATCCAAGCAATCTTCTTGACCAAAAGTCACTTTTGAGGTGAAATAAGAGTGAAGAAATTAGCCATTTGTGTCTGCGACGTCGACGTTTAATTGTTATCACTATCATCTATGACACTATTATCTTGTTATGAGATCAGTCATCACGACCCAGTAACCGGATGACAGCAGTTTAAGGCAGATAACCTAAAAATTACGATGAAACCGTTTGTTAAAATTGACCAATTATGATAGAAATCTAGATAATGGGTCGGTTTGCTGCTTAAAGGTGGTATAAAACTTCCTTATTTTTTGATAAATACATAGGGTAGGTAGAAACGTCGACTGGTTGATTCATAGTGTAGGAAAGGTAGAGACGTCACTAGCACGTTAGTGTAAGCCGCGGATAAAAGCTAGTATATGATAAAATGATAAAAATAATAATTTATTTCCGAATCTAAAAATCATATTAGTGAGGTCGATTCCGAACTACGTCCGGTTCGAATTAGATCCAAACCCGCAAAAACATGGTCCATCAAAGTCAAAGATCTACTTGTATGGTAGATTACGCACTGTAAGTACCGTTATCCTTCACCAGATTTTTCTAAAGAATATGCGTTCCGAATGTAGACTTGCATTGCGGAAGCGCTTTAACCTGATATTACATATACATATGTATATGGAGCATACTTTTTTTTGTGAGGGGAAAATCATCAAATGACTTCTCCCGCCCAGGGCCGGGCGGGAGGGAGTGTCAGACTCTTACTGACTAAAAATCCCCCTGTTCCTTCTCCTGCTCTGGGCCGAGGTCGCGGTGCCTCATTGCGCTTAGCCCGCAACCCCGGCTGAACATCAGCCATTTAGGGCCCCGTCTGTGGTGTTCTATTGGCTCTTTGAGGCGCGCGCGGAACGCTACGCGCCGTACGCTCGGGCCTGGTTCTGGTCGGGCGGCGAGCTGCCCTTACTCGCCGACCGCAGACCCGCGATATGGACCATACTTACAAGTCATTATTTAAATGATGACAGACTAGTGTGTGTGATTTATGGCTGTTCCAAATTTCAATTAGATGCGTTTAGCAATTTAAGTCAAGTAGTAGCAAATATCCATCTATACTTACAAATTTTCGCCTTTATTTATACTAGCTTCTGTGGAGCAGCTTCACTCGGTGCTCCGCTCCTACAAATCGGAGCGTGATGTTTTATAGCCTAAAGCCTTCCTCGATAAATGCACTAACAAACATAAAAATTATTATTCAATTCGAACCAGCATTTCTGGAGATTAGCCCGTTCAAACAAACAAACTCTTCAGCTTTATAATATTAATAATAAAGATTGAAGTAGGATGTCCTCCTGACTGAGATATACATAATGTAGTTATGTATAAAGTTATACCTAGGCAGTCAACGTACGACGTCGAAGTAAATAAGTAATTGGATTAATAAAACCACCGGTATACACTATGGTCGTGGTCTGTTCTCACGTCCTCTTTAATAACTACTAACTAATAGGCAATCAATCTAGTAAGTATTTTATTAACTTATACTATGACGTTATATTTCGAAAGCTATTAATTTTTCTATAGTCTACTTTAATATCAGGAACGGTGATTTGGATCGCATAAAAATATTTTTAATAATTTTTTTTTTTCCTAAAGAAGAAGTTTTTCTTTTCAAAGTCACAATGAAACTACATCGCTAAGCTGCACCGCAGGCTTAAGCTAAGTTACCACTGGATAACTAATACACCAAAGAAAACATTTACTCACGGGTTATATATTAGTATCGTGATTAGCATTTCTTAAAACTTAATTAAACATAGTATCATCGTCAGCTTATATGTACCCACTGCTGAGTAAAGGTGTCTTCCCCCAAGGAGAAGAATCAGTGCCGGCGTTAGAGGACGCTTGATGGGGCGATGGCCCAGGGCGACAAATTCTGGAGGGCGCCAAGGTCTGAAGTTGGAGTCTCTTGACTCTCCTGGTGCAAACCCTCAGAACTGTGCTCTACGCTCTGTGCATATGCATATTTTTTGAGTTTTTTTTTAATTTGGCTTGGGAATTGGGATCATCACAAAACTAACACTTCATATTATTCCCTCAAGTGGGCGCCATAATATTTTCGCCCGGAGTGTCAGTGGCCCTTACGCCGGCACTGAGAAGAATTGCGCATTAATCACCACGCTTGCTCAAGGCGGATTGACGATTTCAAACTTAGAAATAATAAATTCAGGTTTTCTCACGATGTTTTCCTTCACCGTTTGTCAGTAGTATCTAATTAATCATAGAAGGTACATATAACTTGGAATAAGCCACATTGTTACCTACTTGCCAGGTTTTGAATCCTCAGGCATGAGAAGCGAGGGCTTCCTCTGGGCCACCATGACGACACTAAACAACATACAAAGTATACATAAAATATACATAAAACATAACGCACCTATCTATCAAGCAATTCTCCATCATGCCACGTGCAGCCGTCACTGATTGCGAATGGCAACATTTTTAAAAAGCATTATTTTCTATGAGTTTTCGTAGTATCACTAATTTGTAATGCAGTAACATAAATAAATAAATAAAAACGTTTTCTTAACAAGTTCTCTATATATCTACCTGCTTTTAAAAAATCCAGCATTTCTCTTTAATACTTCATATATGAAATCTTAAGTCCTTTCGCACTGAGTTCTTACTAATATTTCATATCCGATGTGCAGCCACGCCGGCTTCTCACAAGTGCACTGAAGCACTTAGGTATATCTTCGGTAAATTGTTGCAATTTTATTTCTCGTTAAGATATTAATATCTATTTTTAGAACATCGGTATAGAACACGCCTTCATTCACGTGTTTCTCATTATTTATCTTAAATAAATCGATTCACGTGTCATACTGAGCGTGACACACAGCGTGCCACACTGATTGATACCCTGAACTTTACTCGGGAACTGTTGAGAAGGGCACTCCAGGTTTCTTAGCAAAACTCTTCACAGAGTATCAAGAAAATTATTCTTTCCACTTGATAAAATTCGCATATCCGCCTCTTATCTTTGTCGTTTATGTTTTTAATTGGCTGTTTTTGTTTACATACCTAACACAAACCGAACTAATACACTACTTACTCATATTTCTCATTAATTAAAATTAGATACGTATCCATGAAAATAGAGATAAACAATGCGAACCTCGACCTTATTGTATTGAATCTACAATTCTAAACCGTTGGTCTTACAAATAACTCCAGCTGTATTGGTAATTCGAGCGTAACACCTCTACTTGTTCGAGTACTCTAAACATTGCTAGAGAACTGTCTAAGGGCTATGTCGAGTAATGGACTAGGTACTGATGGATTAAAACACAGGAGAACCTAGAATGCTTCTGGGATTTAATCTCTTTACCCCTTTGTCAAACGAATGCAGGTAAATTAATTTCATTTAAATACAAAGCTAGAATTACTACTAGTCAATTAGAGACCTCTTTAGTACTCGTTGCATAAGTTTAATTCTAAATCAATTTGCTAGAAAACAAATAACGTCTCGCGCCAACATCCATTACATAGGTAACGTGCAATTGGATAATTAAAAGAAAAACAAAGTACTAGATAAAGGAACTTGTATTTTTCAGATAAACTTAAGTATCATATCAATACTTATTGAACTCGGAGTAAGTAATTGCCCTTTGACCTCGCAATCCAATTAGAAAAAGATTCCTCGCGGCATTAGTCGATCGCTTTTATTACTAGGTACATATTAAACAAAATAATCGCATACTAGGCCTTCTGTACATTTGTATTAAGTCGATTTTCATAAAGCAAGCACTTAAGAGTACATTGGTTAATAACAGCAAAAGCTAAATCCAAAGTTTTTTAAATGATTGACAAAGCATTGGTTTTCCATTAGTTATTTATTTACATCACAATTGACCATTACTTTTGGCCGGGGTTGCGGAGTAAGCGCAATATGTATAAATACGTTTTAAAGTTAAGATATTTCAGAACAGTAAAATAAGTTCTTATGGTGCATGTATTTTAACTTTAGTTGAATAGATTTATTGTCACGCTGTAGTATCCGCGTTAACTGACTTAAATTGTACTGATTCATAATAATATATCTATATATATCAAACATCATCATCAGTCTACAAGTGCCTCGTGGCAAAGCCACACGGAAAAGGTTTGAAAATCACCACGCTTGCTCAAAGCCGATTGGTGATTTCAAACACAAATAACACATGTTTTCCTTCGCCGTTTTTAAGTATTGTCACACACAATACTTAAAAACGGCGAAAATATTTTGAAAACCTTATAAAAGTACAGAAACTTAAAAAAAGTTAATCTGGTACTTGTCAGGATTCGAACCCGAATTTTCACTTGAAGCGAGTGTTATCCTCCAGACACAGTCTGACCATTGTAATATTACACATAGTTCACATTAGGTAATACCAAACATTATTTATAAAATTAGCAATTAACAATGCAATTGTTGTATAATGAAGTCGGTTTTCCCATTATCTTGAGACACGCGAGTTACGTGAGGTCACACTACAAAAGTGGTCGCGCCCCTCGTCTTTGTCATCACACTAATTAAATCAAGATCCGATTTATAATTAATATATATTAATCATAATATGGCAATATTCATGATGATTATGACATCAATGTTTGTATGCACAGTCTGGGGTCAAAAGTGCAATTGCACTCTACCAATGCGAAAATGTATAACTTCTTTGTAATACACGTTCTGGAATCTAAAACCCTGTTTTGATTACTTTAGAATCTGCATAATTTTGCTACAAATTAATCAGTAAATCAGTAACAGCGTTGTGTTTCGTGTGAGTGTGGTTACAGGAGGCCCAAACCATCCCCTCCCCCGATCCCTCCCCAATCCCTAAGAGGTCGGCAACGCACTCGTAACTCCTCCGTTGCGGGTGACCATGGGCGGCGCTGATTGCTTACCATCAGGTTATCCGTCTGCTCGTTTGCCGTGCTGACCTTTTACATAAAAAAGTAAATCAAACTCTGAACCAAAACTATAAAAAATAAATAAAATCGGACACGAGCATTGGTAAAGTACAATTACACTTTTGACCCTCACTGTACATACTTATATAATATGTATGCATACAGTAACGTGTTAAACTTTGAATGAATAATCGTCTTTTATTATGCAATGTCCTATAAAGAGGATAGATTGCACTGCACTCATGACATGGACACTACGAATAAAAAAATCCGATTATTTTTATTTACTACGGTTCATGCACAAAACGTTCATAGGGGGATTTAGTGCCTGTGGCGTTTTCTCCCTGTCTACCGTTGGGTGGTCAACTCATAGGACAGACGAAGCACGGTAGGTGCAACAAAACAACGAAATTAAATCGTATTTTTTTTATGTTACATAAAACTGACTCTTAAATTTTGTATTTAGTAAAGTGCGCGAGGGCCATGCTTCGGCACGAATGGGTCGGCTCGACTGGAGTGATACTACGGCCTTACAGAAAACCGGCGTTGTGTTTCACCGTGTGAGTGAGGTTACCGAAGGCCACTAATCCTTCCCCCTCAATCCCTAAATCTCCGAATTCCTCAATAACCGCAAAAGGTCGGTAACGCACTCGAAACTCCTTTATTGCGGGTGTCCATGCTTACCATCAAGTAATCCGTCAACTCGTGTGCTGTCTTATCAAATAGCAAAAACATATGGTACTACGACTGCACAGCAACATGGTTATGAAGAAGTCGTTTCAAATTACACTGTACTTGCAATAAACTTGTCGTCATCCGTATTAGTCACGCTTAACCTATGTAATAATATCGATACACGTGCGTGCATAAGTAGCTAGCAATACCATTTTTATTTAGATTATTACAATTCTTTTTTTCCTATTCTTTTTCTAGTCTCAAAGATGGTGCTAGATTGTGTTAAAAGTTGAAAAGTCAAAATCATGTATCTTATACACATGTAAATAGATGGCATAAATATTTTTTAACAAAAATATTCCGACTTCAAAAAGGAGTAAACTAAGAAGCAAAAATTAAATTTTCTGTTTTGTAGAAATTAATACATGTTTTCATTTAGTTAAATAGAAAATAATATTAATAACCATTTTATAATAGTTGTGTTTGTGATTGTCAGGAGAAGGTTCTTATCAAAGAAAATATTAGAAGAGTAGAGAGGAAGATTAGGAAAAAGTGACCCTTTGATAGCGAGATAGTTGATCCCGTGCGAAGCGGGGAGGGGGGGGGGTTGTTTCAAATAAGTATCAATAAGTTCATCTTTTTGTGTCATTCTGTCGGCCTGTCTTCTAGTGAAGCTATTTGCTTGTTCCAAAGTGTAGATTCCAATGGAGAAGAACGAGCAAGAAACTACATGGTTACTCTTTTTTTCCTTGAAAAAAATACTCAATATTCTATATCTTTCGATTTATTTCGTTGCGGGAAACAAGGTAGTCGTTCTCATAGTTGTATCTACTGCAGGTCCTGTCTTACAGAAGTACACACACAGCTATTGGCTAACAATATCGACAAAAACACCAGTGCATCTAAATCAAATTATTTTATTCACTAGTTTGAGAATCCGAACATTAAAATTATTTGGCAAAACCTTTCGACAAACTATAGCCATAATAATATCATTCTAATTTTTATCGACATTGGACACATCCTTTCTTGGCAATGGAAAATGACAGTAATTACCATATTAATCAATATACATAAAGATCTTAATTGCGTAATGCATGTGATTAAATGTAGTTTCACAGCTATAATATCGTTATGTCGATTTTATACATGATGCCAAAATATATTAACGTTTCCCCAATTTAATATAAGAGGGATAATATTACCTTATATGTATTATGTGTTATATATCAGATTCTCATCTATCTTCGTACTAAATTTCATTCAAATTATTCAGTAGTTTTTACGTCAAAGAATAACAAACACCCATTCATAGGTAAAAAGTATCGCGTTTATAATATTGATAGAATGTAATCATGGATATCAATCTTATTTTTTTATTATATAAATACTTACGCACAAACGTGCGTCCAAACCTTGAAGTTTAATGTACAAAATAAAATTTCCATTTTAGTTAAAATAAATACGCAATTTATTTACAAAAATAAACATTATAAAATTATGATAAAGGATTTCGATTCATCATCATCGATACTCCGATTAACCTTTGTACTTACACAAGTATGTATGTATATCTATAGGTAGTTTCTTACTCACTAACTGAATGATAAGCGCAGCGCTGCGTACCGATGATACCAGCAATTGTTTGTTGTGGAATTTTCTATTCGCAGACGGATTCAATTTTGCGCCACAGACAGACTTTTCCATGCAAGTCCTTTGCGCATATCGCGGTTTCTACTTCAATGGCTGTTTTACATTGCAGCACCTAATTTAATAACTTCATTTCCGTGTTTTAAGCTTCACTGATTTCCATAATGATCCTCGCTGTCATGTCATTTAAGTATTTCGTAGTTTTGTCTACATCGATCACTTTTAAATTGTTGATGTCGTTGAAAACATTGCATTGGCCTGTTGTTTTTTTTTTATATTTTGAAGGGAAAATCAAGAGAAATCTGTGGCAGTCAGTGACACAGAGAGAGTGTCAGACTCTTGCCCCTTGTTCCTTCTCCTGCTCTTTAGTGCGCTACTTGGCTACCTTATTGCCCCGCAACCTCCGCGTAATGTGGTCAAGTTGTGCTTTAACCAATTTTGTGTGTTCCATCCTTGTCTAGGGGAGTGCTAACCGTCATTTCAATAGACGCATAATAAGTCTGACTACAGTAATGCTTATATTTCGTTTCCATAATAATTCGTAAATAATGTGTCTTAGTAATCCTGGTCTGGTATTAACGAAGGGAAAGAGTCAAGAGATCAACAGGTCAGGCCACGCACTCATTAGCAAGTACATAGATCCGTTAAATATACATTATCTACATAGTACATACCGACCGCACGCTCAGATTTACTCATTGTAAACACAATTATTCCACAAACTTTCAATGTATATAAACAATAATAATTTAATTAGTGTTTATTCGAGAAATTGAACGTCTATCTAGTATTGTTCTATGAATACCGAACTATGAATTACTTAACATTAAGAATGCAGTTAGCGTTAATCAATATTATAGTATATTACTGTCTGAACTATTTAAGTATAAGAAAGAGATTATCGTCCCTGTTATGTAAATTATGCCTTCGTTATTCAAATCAAAGAATATTTTTAATTTACTTTATACTACGTAAGTATTAGTTTTTACTAATGAGTTCGGATTTCAATTTATCGCATTTAAACCTCTTTTTGAAAATACCAATGTAGGATCTCTGTAATTAAACGAGCGCGTCCTCGAGTGTCACTCAATCGGTTAATACGATAAATTAATTTTCATATTAATTAAGTGAAACCTCTATTTTTGGCAATAAAACCTGTTTACAATATTATCACAAATGGATAGAGATCAGCGTGCATATTATATTAATAGGTAACGTTCGGTTTCAATAAGAATTTGTTAAATTAGCTACTAAAAAGACTACAATATTTAATAATGACATATAAGAAGAAACCAGGTGTTTTAATGAATATATTAGTGTGAAAATAATATTCGAATTTAATTTACGTACATATACATCTTTAATTTTTAAAATACGAAATTTAGCTTTTTCCTTTAATGTTGATGCAAATTGATGAATATAATTTATATATTTATACATTTTCTTAACTTATATTTTATTTAAATATGAATGTTAAATTAATGTACTCGTGCTTTAATGGCTCTGCCATTATTCTAGACAATGATGAATATATATAAATAAAAAAAAACTTATTTTTTTAATTTTCGGTATACCAAAAAGTATTTTTCTATATAGGTCTTTTCAGTGATGCAGTGTGCAGATAAGGCAGCTCGGTTTTTATTTATCCCTACGTCTGGTCAATCCACGTTCTTCTTATCAACTAACCCCGTATTTCTGTGTGAAAATATTACCATCGCCACATTCGTTCTTTAATCGTGGGAGCACCATCCTTCGGCACGAATGAGTAGGCTTGACCGGAGTGATACCACATCCTCACAGAAAACCGGCGTGTAACAATTACAGGGTTATGTTTCGCCGTGTAAATGATCTTAGCGGAGGCAATCCTTCCCCTCTCCCTATCCCCAAATCCATAACCTCCATATGGTCGGCAGCGCACTCGTAACTCTTCCGTTGTTGCTGTCCATGGGCGGCGCTGATTGCTTACCATCAGGTATCACGAGTACTCGTTTGCCGTCCATAAAAATAAAATCACATCACTCAGCTGTCCAGTCTTTGTACTATTAGAATTATAGGCAGAACCTCGTCATCGTCAGCGGTCCTGTTTACCAAACACGTAGGAAGGCTCTCGGGTAAAGTTTCCAATCAATTTGTAAGCATCAATAGGGATCAAACTACAAATTATATTAGTCTTTCATTATTCTGAAAGCGGCTTGTGTCTCGATAAACTAAAACATACCTTGCTAACGAAAATATCGTCTGAAATTAGAACAGCATCAGTTCCCCGCGTACGGAACCTGGTACCTGTTTGAAGAGCTGCGCCTGGTCCATGTTTAAACATTTTCCTCAATTTACTTTCCATCATCACAATAATACGTACTCAGCAAAATGTACGAAGCAATAACATCGCAATGTATTAGAAACTTGAATTGCCGGACCTCGAGTCTGCTTACAAACCTATGAATTCCTATTTTAAATCAAATAAGTATATTCCTCAAAGAGATTCATATCGTTAATTTAATTGACATTCTAATTTGGACTTTCACCGAAAGTGACACAGTCACAATCGCAATACGCCTGTAAAAGGTCAAACAAAACAAGTTTAGTTTTATTGTTCAAGCATTATTACTAGAATTCTAGAAAATTCACAGTTTAAAATGTTTCCTGGGTGGTTCGAGGGAGGTCATGGCGAGTATTCTTTGCAACAAGACCGAAACGTTTTGTAATATCACACGCGACTAATTGATATCGGCGCGCCAAAGCACCGATAAGAGATTGACTTACCGTTGGCGTCGCATCGTTTATTTGTCTCCCGTAGTCACAGTCGCTATGCAGCTGTATACTTATCACCAATGCATTTATGTCTACCAATATATCGACATTTTCTGTGCGTTTCGTTCGACTGATACGATTTGTGACCTGATATTAAACACTAAACAGTTAATCTACGCGAATAGGTATAGGAATCCCCGTAATAAAAATTCAGTTATTGTTAGACTTTATGCACATTATAGTTATGTAATAATATTAAGAAGTATAATAGGCACGTGTATACCACAATGGGTAAGTACCTATAGGTATATATATTTAATTTGTGCATTTATATCAAAAAGGTTGAGGTTGGTTGGTTGGTTTAAAACGGTCATGAAACGTCGAGGTGCGCGTCATACTTACGTCACGTGACATTTAAACAGCTGGTCGCATTAACACAAGCCACACGCCAGTATGAACCAGGATTTTACTTTTGTTTTACACTTGTTCGCCACACGAGCGAAATCAATAATGTATATAGATCTGCCAAAACCTAGAGTAATCAAAAGAATCGGTATAATAATTTTGTTTGTATATACATACATACCAATTGGTTTAACTTAAGTATCACGTCTATAACAGACGTGAAAATGAAAGGAGCAACAGTTGCTCCTCTTATTTTAGCTTCAATCATGAATTTAATGTATGTCCTATGGGTATTCCTTCATGGCTTCAATTCACTAAATATTGTTTACAGAATAGGTATATAAACACCATATAAAAGCTAAATGAATTTGACTAATAAACTATGTGTGACGGCTAAAGACGTTTGTCGTTTAAAATAGTGATCGAATAGAGGGAAAAATTGTAAACGTTATATGGAAACAAAAAAAAATCGAGCGTTCTATTTTTGAAACAACCGATACCCGCCATCAGACTAGAGTTTTAAGCAAAAAGTTTTTAGGCGTGCCATGCATTTTTTTTTAATAGTTTAATTTACTGGCTTTATGCAGACGGGTTAACATGCGGTCAGTGCATGTTGGCATAGCAACAGCCGGCAAGGTCACAGTAACACACGTTGATAATGAAGTTGTCCCCACTAACAAACCTATCTACCGTTCAATACTGTACAGATATTATTATAAATTGCATTTAAATTATTTTATTTGCATGCTTATTTTTTAACGATACATTTTATTGCCCTTTCTATATTAAGACCTATTAATGCAGATTGCATCCGTATTTACTTAACAAGTTAAGTTCTTTAGTCATATATATCTACTCACTTTCTTTTATTTAACTTAACTGTATTTTGTAATTCAAATTTATAAGCTAATATATCAAATAAATTTTCTAATTTACTACATAGGTACTTACTTATAAATTACAAACTATTCATTTGCAAATAAAACCAATAGGAATTTTTCCTTCTGCTATTTCGAGAATATTTGTTTCTTACATAAGTTGCGAAGTCATTTTCCATCGGAGGTATTATTATAATAGACGAAGACAGACAGAAAACCGGATTCTTCTGACGTCAGAATTCGAAAGGCAGACTGTTAAATATAAATCCTTAATAACCTTCAAGTGACGTAATTAGAAACTGAGAGCCGCGCCTCCTTCCACATATAGATAGTATGGACGCTTCTAGAACGAATTAATTTGTTAAAACAATAACATTGTTATCGCAAAGGTCAATGAGTATTTAATTTAATCACATTTCCCACAATCTTCAAAATAACACATCTTGGTTTACTAATTTTTAAGTATTTTTTAATATGTGTGGTATTTTTGTCCAATTTTAGTATTCAACTAAAATAGGTTCATGATGATATTTTGATAAAATGTCTCCATAAAAACAATACTGATGTACTTTTTCCTCGGAAAATGTACAGATGCCTGATTCACTGTGAGGACTGGGTACAGTTCATAAAATAAATTTTAACTCTAGTTATTTTAAAATAAGTTTATTGTAATAGGACCTCTGTACAACATCATTTATACTTAACTTTTTAAATAAATCCATTAAAAATCAATCTCAGGAATGTGTAGCAGCCGATATCGCAGGTTTCCTTATTTGGAATGCGTCACTAAAGCGTACAAATACTACAAATACCATTCATACAAAATTGTTAATTAACCTGCAACTGTCTGTCGACTGTGTTGATCTGGTTTCAACTGGTTTTGGCCAGTCGCCAGGTGACGTCACACTGGCCGCTTGACACGGCATAATGCGCGTGGCTAAAACTATAGACAAAGATTCGTCAAGTGTCACGATAAATATAAATGCGAGTACATAGGACCCAACTTCTCGAAGATGCATTCATCGTGAACTCGTTAAAATACGTCCGTGAATCCTGGGTCAGCATTCAATAGACTCTTCAGTTACCTCTCCGAAGATCACATTTTCCTCCAAGTAAAACAGATGTCGATAAATCTTCTAATAAAACCTGTAGGGTTTCACAGGTTATCAACGTTATATATAAATAAAATACTATTCAATTTGTATGATAATTTACACGTGGGAGAGCCATGCTTCGGCACGAACTGGTCAGAGTCCCACAAGCAATTAAAACACCTTTAAGAAATCCGGATTGATAATTTCTAATTAAGAGATTGAATTCGCCAACACGCTGGTCCGGTGAAATACTCAAACTTTCTCCATGTGACAAGAGGCCTTTGCTCAAAGCTGGGCACTTAATTTTATATAGGCTGTTGATGTCTGTACCTATGTGTCATCTATATGACATAACTAAAAGCACCTAAGCTAAAAGCTATGAATAGAAGTGAAACAGACCCTAAATCTGCAAGCATAAAACGGGTGTTTATATATGTCAGTGCTGGGAAAACGAGAAACAATAGTAGATAATAATTATGTACAATTAATTAGGTTACGTTTCTTTAATGAGACTAGTTTGTAACAGGCAACTACGACATGCGTAGGCAAGTGCTTCGTAAGACAATTGATTATATCGCACATTGATTAGATAAGTTGGTAAATGTAATAGCCATCAAGTATAATCCAGTATCAAATTGATAGATATTGTTAAATTTAGCCTTGTTCACAAATCATGGCCGTTTTGTCTGCGCAATTGACAACGTAGATTACCATGTGTAGGTAGTCTGTCTACCAAAATGTCGGAGCCTTTTGTAACATACAAATAACCCACCTTTTTATTTCTTTTTTATTTTCCGTCTCGATAAGAGAATAAATTGCAAAATGAATTATAGGTAATCCCAGTCGCGCTGGTAATTCAATTGCTTTGTATTTATTTACAAAAGAAAAAACTGTTCAAGTTATAATTTTAGATGTTATATTGTTTCAGTATAGTTATTATTTTTCTGCGGGTAAATAGTGCAGTGTTCTAAGGCTAAAAAGTATAATAAAATTATAATTACAGCAGTAAAATAAAAACTTATAAAGTGATTCTGAAGTCTTGAAAGAATTAGATTCACTTAACGTCTGAGTAATAACTCATTCCAACAACGACGCTTCTTTTATTTATTTTTTAGAAAAAATGAATAATTGTGGAACTGTTTCTTTTATCTCTAGTTATAGTGGCGTACAAGCCCACAATTTCATTACAGTCCACAGCACAACAAAACATGTTCAGTCACTCGGATAGTCATATCAACCAAAATTATTGTAAGGAGATTATTCGTAAAAGAGACTCGTCAAGTTGTCATTGAATTCTTTTAACACAAAGACAAACGAATTGGCAGTTACCATAAAAAGAAACATTCTGAGAGTAACGTAAAATGATTGACATAAATATATAAAAATGTGAACATTATCTGCTATCCAGTAGGTATCTATACGGTACATGGGTACATTGGACTTGAACAGTTGACCTTAAGGAATAGTCAAATCAATAAAATGTATACGATAAACTGGACATTTATCTTGGTTGAGTGATCTTTGACTGCTTAATTTATACAGTTTTTTTGCCATTTAATATTGGCACGAAATTGTACTGAGTTATACCTATCACGACTGTTTAAAAGTACATAAGCGTGATCAAGGAAAGCTGCAGTAGGACAGGAATAAACACAGGACGATGGAATACTGCGTTTCATATCGAGCACTTATTAAAAGGCGTTAGTTTGGTACTTAGTCCAGGCTATCCGGAACATTTTCCTACAACACATCTCTATATCTTCTTTGATGAGTCTCTTCTTAGCTCATGTCTGTTTCTCCATATTTCTCTTTTTTGCCAATCGATGGCAGACTTAGTGAGACCCTTCGTCACTAGATCTCATATTCGCGTCCAACCAATTTTAGTACTTAATACACCAATGTAAAATATGAAATTATTGAGTTTAAAAAATATGGTAAATCTATACTTATTGTACACAGCTAAAGAGATTTCTTGTTTGCTAAAAATATCTCCGAAACTACTGGTTCTAAATAAACAATTATTATTGTGTTGGATAGTCCATTTATCGAGGAAGGCTGTAGGTGTAGACTATAAAACCAATAGGAGGCGAAAAGCTGCTGAAAGGACGTGGAAGTAGCTTGCAATTTTGTAGGGCTAGCACTATTATATGCTGGTATTTGAAATACTTATTAAATTCTTCTAAGCATCACTTACATAGTGTAGGTATGCCATCAAATGTCGCGTGTCGGCCTGACTGGTAAATTTGCGTAACTTGATAAAAGTCAATATCGGAATTCAATTCATGCGCACACTGGGATAATCAACTTAATGTACCTTGATCGAGACATGTCACATATTTAATAGATGTGAATTACATGCGTAGTCAGGTAGGTAACTTATAAATAACTGCATATTATTATTTAGTGCATATAAGTTGATCATCCTAATATTATTTTGTTCAAAGCCAAGTTTTGTTCTAAGTAGTATCGTTAAGAATGAAAAACTTCTTGGTATACGCCTATCCAGACGTCGTTTAACCTGAATTGCATGTACCTATGCAGACTTAGTACGACGAGCTTTTTCTTGAAATTATAACATACATTTAGATTCGTTGGATAACCCTACTTGGCTGGGGCTTTAAATGAGTAAATGGTTGTTCTACTTAATCATTAACAGAACGCAATTTGGTGCTAAATCAAATGCATTTAAAGTTAGACATGCTTCAACGTCACAGAAATTTTCAACATCCATTTTTCACACAAAAAGTTTTACGTGAATGACTATTGTTTAGGATCTGAATACCACGCTTTTAATTCACAAAACTCTCAAGCAAGCCGGAGATTATAGAAAAATAACAATAAACCACCGATTTCAGTCCATTATATTAAATTTTGATATGTTTTCATTCGAAAAGATTTCCAATGCATTCAATGAATAGAAGATAAAGTAAAAACAGAATTGAGTCATCAATACAATAGACAAAGGATCCAAGTGCTTCATTCATAATAATATAATTATTATTAGGCTAAAAACGAAAACAACACGAAAATTCAGTTTCTAAAACACACGTCAAAACTTTATACTTGAAGTAATTAAAACTTGCTCTGTTCTGTTTTCGTTTTCGTTCTCAAATGTATATGTTCGTTTCATATCGATAACTCGATTGGGACTAACCGATAGTAATGTTTTTTTAGCCTTAGAACTATGTCCTGAGCTGTGGGGTACAACGGATCTTTCAGGAGAAGGAACGGGCTGATGTTTTTCGTCAGTAAAAGTGTAGCACTCCTTCTCGCTCCACGCACGGTAAGAGGTCATTTTGATGATCTCCGCACTCAAAACGTGAAAAAGGACCCTCCTTTTTTCATTGAAATTTTAGAACCTGATAGTCGCTCTTGCAACTACTAGGTCAACAATTAAGTAATTACTTATAATATCTTTTAATTACCAATATATAGTATATAAGGAAGCAATTCAAAGCCAAAATATTTAAAAAAATCACGTAATGTCCCGTATATTGACGCAAAATAAGGCGTTCGCTTTAGGGCTTATCGCAGACTTACACGTGTTACACACTCACCAACTTGTGAAATAAATAACAATATATCGGAATTAATGTGTATTTCGTTGTCCACACCCTGATACTGACCGCTTACTTACAATATTATGTTACAAAAGTGTCGGTAAACTGTCAACAACGCAATACGCCAGACCTCCTATACCTTGTAGGGATATTTCAATATCAATTTCTGGTCTCTAGCTCTACGTTAAAAGCGTATACATACAATGTTTCCATACAATTCGAAATTTATGTAAACATGATTTATAAATAATAGTAACTAAAAAAACTCAACATTGCACAGGAATTTTAAAAGTAAAACAATGCAAAAGACAGCTGCCATACATTAATTGGAAACTTGCCATAGTTTCGAACTATTTTCGTAAATTTCGCTACGTTTTTGTTTTATCAATGGCGACGGTATACATACTGGACTGGCTCGTGATTATTTCAAAACAAACGAGATTTATTTTGTATGTACGTTTCTGCTGCACACATTTTCTTTCAACTTATTACCATATAAGGATTCATAATTTATTGCAGGACAGAAAAGAAAAAAACAATGTGCAACCATTAGATGCGATCCCTTAGAAATTTCATTGATAGCCAAAAGTGAATACAGTCAATAACTCTAGAATACTTTTTTTTAAATCTATATATATAAAAGAAAGTCGTGTTAGTTACACCACTTATAACTCAAGAACGGCTGAACCGATTTAGCTGAAAATTGGCAGGGAGGTAGTTTAGAGCCAGGAGAAGGACATAGGATAGAGTAGGTCAGGTAGAGTAGGGTAGGTAGTCAAATGACGGGAGCGACGCCGCGGGTAAGAGCTAGTTAATGATAAGTTAATAGAAAGCGTAATGTATCAACTATTACAAATTACAATCAATGTACACTTTACAAACTGTATTGTAGGTGTTCATTCCACCGCGTAGTGTGCTATTTTCTAGACTTCTAGTGTAATATCCTCTAGGTACTCTCCAAGAGAGTCCACGTACTTTATGTGATGGGATTGCTATCACCAGAGTGCTTTCACTATATGTCCGTTTACATTTCTAATCCAATATATTTATTTTTACAAGAAATCAAACAGAAAGTTTTATTAAAGTTTAAACGTGGATATGCAATTCCATTTTACTTTAATACTATGAAATTTAATCGCTTCTAGATCATTGATTGGTTGGTTTACTCAGAGTTCCGAACGTCATAACATAATCGTCTCGATAGCCTTAACGTGAAAACTACTAAACTGATTTAGGTGCAAACGTAGCATACTATGGTCTAAAAACTCAAGTATCTACATTTTCAGTCATAAAGTAGGTGAATAACAACTCTAATAAAAAGTATTTGAGAATAATGAAGCGATGCACTACATTATTGTTTTAAACCATATTCGAAGCCAAACTGCCAAGTTTTGTTGAAATTGAATAAGTAGATTCTATAATGTCTGAAAGATTTTACGCAAAACCCATGCGCATGCGCATGCAAACGACTTAAATATTTCAATTTTTATTTAGATTTAGACTTTTCTTAAAAAAAAGTAAAAAACTAACAAAGAAATTCCGTTATTGTTCTGCGAAAATGTTTAATTTCCGGATCCGGGTCGTCTGATCCGTTTCCGTCAAGGATGTATTTGTTCAGTTCCAATCATAAGCGTATAGGTAGTAAAACTCCTGCAGTTTAACGTGTACCCATCTGTATTTTTTTTCATTGGATTTTACGTTTTATAACAACATTTTAAAGTTGGAAATCGAATAAAAAAAATTGCAGAAGGCGGTTGACCTGCTGTCGTCTGTGTTATCATAATGCTAGTCAGAGAACATCGCAAATTTTCCTTGATGTCATTGTTTTCTATTTCCTACAGTATTTTTTATAGTTAGGTAGGTACTTCTACACAATTTCTTCCACAACTGTTTAGGTATTACTTCTATTTTCGAAACAAATTGTTATCTTTTCTGTATTTAAAAATTACGGAATGCAAGTAACACCGTAACACGGCAAATAAAGACCATTTTAGTAAAAAAAAGTTGTAGTTTTTTTAATCGAAAAAAAAAATTACATATTTTAAAATAAATATACTTTTTGAAAAATAATATATTAAAGAAAAGAAACAAAGTTTTGTCATGTATGTATTTATAAAAGTTTTGAATTTGACGAGTTGAAAACTAACCGTACGCTGTCTTTTTCGGGACTGAATCTAAAATACTACTATCCCTATAATAATTATATAAGTACAAGTAATCATTATTATTACACTCACAATTAGATCATTGAGTTGTAATTTTAATGTTCTACCGAAAACTTTTTCTGTGACAATTTTCCCAAATTGGTATGTTGCCAAATTTTCAAGTCTACCTACTTTGTTGTTATTATTATTAGATAATTTATTTTTATGTAATTAGTTACTAATATCTCTCTTGCCGTTTGTGAAACATCACGCAAAATACTTTTGGATGTTTTCTTCCGCATATCAATAGTTCTACGTATTGTTTAATTTTTTTTGTAACACTGAAAGAACTGTTGTTCTAGTTCAAAGAATCAGTGTTTTTATGTTACTGTGCTACATGGAGACTTAGTTGTAATCTTTGTCAATAGGCATTCAAAGTTACAATGTATTTTTTTTGCATAGACATTGATATTATCTTTAAGCATTTCAAATCGTGGTATTTCTAGACACAATAGTAATACAATAGGCGAACGCCGTTGTTCGTTGGGATTTGATGAATTTAGTAAACAATTTTAGAAACGTCTATTAAATAGGTAATCAAAATTCAAAAATAATACACTCGATAAAATACAGGTTAACTCGAATTTAAATGTAAAGCAATATAACCACACCCTTGAAATGAGAGTAAGTGTTTGCAGTCGACACCGTAAAACAACATCCTGTATCGACGGTCTAGAACTAGATTAAAAGAATCAAGTCTAAGGAAACGCTATTAGCATCAATTTAGATACACTTGTCATTCTGCAGTCGATTTCTTACTAAACACGAAGCAAATAATACAATTTTAGCAAATGTATTGTATCTTATCACCTACGATATACATATACACCTATCTTTTTCTAGATTATTCTATGAAAGTACATATACGGTTATGTGTACAAAAATATGAATGACGATATTGCATTGCCGATGTAATCCTGATGTAAGATGTCACCGGATTGACAGTAAGAAGCGATAATTTTATTCAGTGAATATTTATTTACAAAGAGGGTAACAAACAAATGATGATTTTTTTACCTATAGCTGTTTGGAAAATTTAGCCATCATGCTTTTTGATTGATTACCTTTTTTTAGATAACTGTTTATTTCCTTTACTATACCTAGTTTTGATATTTATATACGCAATTATATCGAGGAATTGTATCAATAATACAATGCTAACTGGCTGGTAAATAAATACTATGGCTTAAACTATTATTTGACGTCAGAACTGTGTCACGCTATTATCAACACGTGCCTCACATTTGATAACTACTGTAAGAAGGTCATTATGCATAGTGCAGAGTACTACTTGCATTTAAAACGTATTCGGGTTTCATTAATGATATTTATTTTTATTCTATACATTAATTCTTAATCCACAGTTTTTTATAAAGAATCGCCTGTTATTCATTTGGACCAGTAAACGCACACTATAATCAATTTTTAACTAAAAAATGAGTATTTCTCAATACACCCAATATTTTAAAATAGAAATAAAATCCGCTGATCCACAATAGTAGTAGTAGTCTGTTGCAGCAAGGTGTTAATAACCTTGTGTCTGTATCATTCGAATATTAAAATACCAATAAAGTTATGCCTAATGCAAAAGTATACATCGTTCGTTTTTTTAACCACCTGATTAGATTTTTTGATGGCTTCATCTCTGATGCAAAATCGGTTATTAAACCGTATAGAATGATGTTTCCAAGAAATCACTCTTCGTAGCTGGATGTGCACCACCTTCCAGTACATAATTGCAAAAAACTGTTCATGTCACAATCGAAGATTTTAATCACCAGTGTTCTGGTCTAATTCCATAATAAATTATTCTTGTAACGCGACTACTTTCACCTTCGCTCACATTGCTAGAATACCAACACGAAGTAGGTACGGTTGCTAACCAGCACGCCAGTAGACCTGTCCTATCGCAAATCACAATACGTATGGGGCGAGCCCCCAGTGAACTTGTATATCGACCTGAACGCGCCTTCATTATCAGCTGTTTAGCTGCCCGTACCACTGTACACGAATTCTTACTAATTTTACTGCAACGTTGTCTCCGCGAACGACATGGAAAGCGTACGTTGCGAACCGTGGTATCGGGGCTCGGTATTCGTCTACCACTCAAAACCGGTGGCACGCGGTTCTCTACCCGATCACGATGACGAAACTATATCGTTCGTCGTGCGGTTCACGTCGAGTGCTCAGTGTGAGGCTGTCCGTTGGCCAAGTTAGACGCGTGATCGTTACGCCCCAGCCGTACGCACACTCGAATTTAAATATACGATCTGATAAAGTTCCAAAGAAGAAAATCGTCTGTGATCCTAATATTAGATAGTTTAATTATATTTGTCTTATTTGCAACACTGTAAACTAGATAAAATGTCTCTGGAACTGGAGGAGTTAACTGTAACCACCGGCGATGTCTTTGAGGATTTCCTGCTCGTCTTTCGTCGATGTTTGGCAAAGGTAAATGCATTCTAAATTCGGGTTAGCTAGGACAGCTAGTCGAGTCGATGCCAGTCATTAAAGACATTGCGTTGGGAACG